GAGTCTCGCTCTGTCACCCAGGCTCGAGTGCAGTGGCACGATCTCGGCTCATTGCAAGCTCCTCCTCCTGGGTTCACACCATTCTCCTATCTCAGCCTCCCTAGTAGCTGGGACTACAGGCGCCCGCCACCATGCCTGGCTAATTGTTTGTATTTTTAGTAGAGACAGGGTTTCACCGTGTTAGCCAGGATGGTCTCTCTCTCCTGACCTCGTGATCCACCTGCCTCAGACTCCCAAAGTGCTGGGATTACAGGCGCGAGTTACCATGCCTGGCCCCAAAGAAGATTTATGAACTTATATTTTGAAAATAATTTTACTCCTCGGAAATAAAACCTAGGAAGAAACACAACATAGTGTCATCATTTATTATTCTAGGATGATCAATTAATGGGTGATTTTTATTTTGTTGTTTCCATTTCTCTCTACTTATTTTCTTTAATTTTGAAAGCAAAAACATTAATTTAACAATATTTTTAAAGACCCGATATCTAAAGATGAGCCAAGTATAATAAATGAAGGTACAAAATATGTATTATAAATGACACGAGTAAGTAATCTGTGAAAAAAATCCTTTCTAATGACGGGTACAGAAGCAGCTGAGAAAGAGCTCTTGATGTAAAAAAAAAAAAATGAAATAGATACATTCCTTCAGTATCTAATAAATATCTTTCACCTTTGTGCTTTTGCTCTGCTTTTCCAGGCCTAAAATGTTCTTCACATCCTATTTCTGCACATCTAAATACTAGCTGTTCAAGGTTCGAATAACATCCTAACCTCAACTTGAAGAATCCTGTATCCAAAGCTGGAATAGTCCTTCCTTTCTCATTCTCCTTAACTTATTGTGAATCCTTTACTTGATCATTTATTCAAATAAAAACATTGAGCATTAACCTTTATCCTAGCTTTGACAATATGAGAATGAGAGAGAGATTGATTATATCCATGAGAATTGTAGACTTAAATAAAAGGGACACAGGGACACTCTCAACACAACCACATCACACTACAATGCAGGTGGTGCAGTATAGAAGAAGTAGGACATCATTTCAGAAAGACTTCCTAAAGGAGATAATTTGGAAAAATCATGGAAGAATGGAAGGATGATGAGAAGTCATTCACAAGGAGAAGTGATAATAAAGACTAGAATGTCAGGGAGAGGGAACAAATATATCCAAGGGATATGTTCCAAAGGGAGCAACATATCCAAGTTTCTCCATTTCTGTTGCTCTCTGTGAAGAAATCAATTTTTCAAGAAATGGAGACAACTGGTCAAGACAAGCATAGTCTCCTCCACCATTCAGTTGCTCAAACCAGAAACCTAGCATCACCCTTGATCCTACCCTGCCCCTCATATTGTGCAATCATGAATTTCCTTAAATACTGCTTGTACTCTGGGGAGGGAGCTCCAAGTTTCACCTAAGCTTTCTGGCTGACACTTGCCACCAGTCTCCTTCGAAAGCTGTGGGACAGGAGCCACATCTTACCAGCAGGGCACTGTTAGGCAACAGGATATACCCATGGGAGTCCTTGCAGGAGTTCACGAGGATGAACTCATATAATTGGGGATTATTTTTTCTTGGGATAACACAGCCCATATGCACAGAGATGAGATCCACACTGCACAGATGTTGAGGCTTTTCTGGCTTAGAAGAAGTCACACGCCCAACAGGAGCCAAAATCTTTCCCGATGATTCCGTAAGCATAGCTTTCAGGAAACCCACAAGGGACAAGACTGTTGGCAGAGTTATGACACTTGTGAAATCCAAAAGCATGATGTTCCCATCAGCTGCTTATAGTTCAATTCATCATCTCTTCCAAGGTAGTAGAAACTTATCAATCATAAGTCATCATGACCATGAACAATGTTGCTTGGTAACACTGAAACGCACCATCTTCATCTGTTGCCAGGGAACCAGAGCTAGGAGTTTAACAGAGTGGTGGAGTCTCTTGCAGCAGGGTGAAGGTTTTTGTTAGCCTCTTGGCCACACTGCTTCTAACATGTTCTCCAACACATTCAAGATCCTCCACCTTTACTGTCTTCCATCCAGCTAAGGCACCTTTGTCTCTCACCAGGGCTCATCTCCTAACATCCAGATTCACCTACCAACCAACACACACACATAGTCCTTGGAGCCATCCATACTCAACCTGACAACCAGAAGTGCTTTTTAAAATACTGTGATCACGTTTAAGCTCTGTTTAAGCCCTTCCTTTGGTTTCCTGTCACCTTTGGAGTAAAGCCCCAAGTTATCAACATGTTTACAAAACACATCACACTCTTTTCCCTTTGGTTTTCTAATCTGCAACCACACAGGGTTTTTCTCTAGTCCTCAAATGTTCCTGGCACACATCACACACTCTTTTCTCCCACACAGCTAAGCACAAGCTGCTCTCTTGACTGCACCCCACTTCCCCTACCTGGACAACTTCCATGTATCCTATTACTATCAAGTATTGTTGTGAGGTGTAGTTAATACTTGTAAAGCACATAGTCTGCATTACTTAGTTGTTATCCAGATATGAAGGCATTAGAGAAGCCTTTCTTAGTCTTCAGCCTATGTTAAATCCCCCTGTTATGTATATTCCCATTGAATCAAGTCTCTTTTCAGATCACTCAGCTCCTTTTCATTCCTTTCTCAATGTCCTCCCTTCACGCTCAACAATAAGCTCCAGGAGAGCAAATGCTCTGTGTTCACCACTGAATCTCTAGTGCTGGCAAATAGTAGATGCTCAATGAATATCTGTTCAGTTAATGAAGAAATAAATAATTACTCCAGTTTAAACCATGTATAATTTGGAGGATCCATATGAAAATATCTTACTAGAAATTGAAAAGAATCTAAAGCCAAAAATGTCTGATTACTGATAAATCATTTTGAGAGCCATTGACCTAAAGATGAAAGTGAAAGATATTGAGATTACTCCAAAGCAACAAATAGGCAGCAAAAACATTAAAAAGCCATTCCTGGCCAGGCTTGGTGACTCACACCTGTAATTCCAGCTCTTTGGGAGGCCAAGGCAAGAGAATCCCTTGAGCCTAGGAGCTCAAGACCAGCCTGGGCCACTTAGTAAGAGCCCACCCATCTCTACAAAAAATAAATAGCCAGCTGTGGTGGTACGTGCCTGTAGTCCCATATACTCAGTAGGTTAAGGCCAGAGGATTGCTTGAGCCTAGGAGTTTGAGGTTTCAGTGAGCTATACTTCCACCACTGCACTCCAGCCTGGGTGACAGAATGAGACTCTGTCTCAAAAAGAAAAAAAAGAAAGAAAAGAAAACAACATTGGTAACAAGAGCAGAGACATGTAGATGGCACTTTTGAGGGGTCAAGCAAGCTTTTTATACATGTATATGTATATATGCATACATACATATTGCTATGAGAATTAAATTAGTTAATATATGTCATGTCCTTAACAAACAAAGAGAGTAAAACCTACATAGGTATTTCTCGTAACTAATACCAGTGAATAGAGGATTTAACCTAAGAATAATATTGACATATTGTGAAAACACTTTGGTGTCACTCTAGGGAAAACTGTGACATAAGGAACAATCTGTGAACTAAACATCAGAGCTGAAATTCTGGGCCTGCCACATTTTAGTTATGGGATGTTAACTTCTCCAATCTCACTCAATTTTTCATTTATGAAAGAAAAAATAGTAGAAACAATCTCTTAGAGTGGCTGCCATGACAATGGCGTAAGATAAACCACCCAGCACAACAGATATTTTATGAATTTATGCCCAGTATTCCATTATTGGAAAGCTAAGCATGTGGGAGTTATTTATATACTACTGCTCAAGGTCATCACCAAGGTCTGACTGCAAAAATTCAAAAAATTCTAACCTCAGGCATAAACAGGTTAAAAGGGCTTTTCCCTTCAACTCACAGAGAAAGGAAAGAAGAAAGTATTTTTGTCAGGTTTCAAATGTCTTATCGTTGGTTAGAGAGAGAACAGGCATATAGATGATTGATATAGACAGATAATAGATAGATGATAGACAGATAGATAGATAGATAGATAGATAGATAGATAGATAGATGATAGATAGATACATAGATAATGATGGACGGATGGTGCCTCAGCCTTCCAGTAAGACACACATTCTACTAACCATTAGTTATTTTACCTGATCCTGTCCCTCATCCCACCCTCTACCATCCAATAGGACCTATGTAACAAGCCTACATATGTATCCCTGAACTTAAAATAGAAGTCAGAAAAGACACACACTCTGTTTGTTTCCCCCAATAATAGTGCCCACTGCCTCAAAATAATTATCTTAAAGGGATATAATTATTTTCTTGTAAAGTGATTCCATGTCCACCTCCCTTCATTGATACTGGAAACGTGGAAATATCTGTAATTCACATGCACCAACCTCAGCGATATGAATTTTTTCAGGAATGCAATACAAGAATAATGTTGACCCACATTCCTGGCCATGGAGGTGCTCAGATCAGCACTCCACTCCCGGGACTCTCAGTTTTGCAGGTTACCTTTGCTCACTACCCTCTATCTGCCTCACTCATTCTCTAGACAGTTTATTAATGCCAGTGAGCTCTTCTTTGGGTACGAGAGGCATCATGGAATCTGAGCATACACCGCTTGTGATTTTTAAGTGTAATCTTACTCCATTTTTTCAAGTTTGTGGGTGATACTATACTTTCTCCTACCAGTGTTTATAAATAAAGTAATGAAAATCATGTTAAAATGCTGACCTGCCCCAAAACCTTTCACTGTCATAAAGTATCCTAGTGCTTAGATGCAATGATCTTTTATTGATAGTGTACTGCGTACTTTCACATACCTGCTAAATCAAGATTTCGGGGAAATAAAGGTCATTACAAACCTAATTGTATATTGCTTTTAGATTCAATGGTATATTGCTTTCTGTTTATCTTATTTTTAACAGCAACTGAAAAAGCAAGAGTCAGTAGAATAAGAAAGGCAGGTAAAGCATGCAGGTAGCATACAGCTGTGAGAAAGGTTAGTACCTCCACAGACCACACCATCGAGGTCTTCACAGCGGCGATCATCACACTCACAAGTCTTGCCATACACCCGGCGATCTCCTGGAGGGTAGCAGGTGCATTTGCCACATTCACATTTACCTGGAAAGTATAAAGAAAGTGCACACTTATGAGGAGAGTCCCAGAATCACTAAGGCTTTCAAGGAGGCAAGCACATTATTAAACCCAAAACTTCTAGAACAGTTCTAGTCTGTGCCTGAGAATAGTTACACAAATACACATTTCCAACTTCAAAAAGAAATTCTGTGGTGGTCTGGAGTGGAAGTGGCAGTCGCTGTCTCAGAAGTCATTCACATTTGCTATTCTCTAATTTTTGTTTCATTCATTTTTGCATAAATCCATTATAAAACTCTCTGGCTATTTCATATACAACTTAGCTTGATGATTCCTTGAACATAACATAATACATTATATATACTGACATAATTTAGCATAATGTGGTCATTTTAAAAGGTTTTAATCTTGGATCTAACTACTCCATGAGAAACAAAAGTATTCACAGGTATGTTTCAATGTGCTGTTTTAGTGATTATTTGTAATCAGTTTTATAGTTCTTAGAACTTACTTTAGCACAGAACATATGTCAAAGCACATAATCTAAATATCTTTATTATCCTCATCTTAAAATTTAAAATTATAAATATTTTTGCAATGAATTTGGTTCATAGTTTGGGAACCCCTTAACTAGTCCCATTATGCTGAGTTTCGTCATGATTTCTTGAGTGGTAACTATGTGTAAAACACTATAATTCCCCGCATGACATCATTTCATTTTCCAGTACCACACATTGACTAGAACCATTTTACTAAACAGGAAACCAAGACGTATAGAGGCCAAGTAACTTTCCAGTGGTGAACCAGCTAGGAAGAAATAGATTCAAAATTTATATCCATTCTCATTAACCTCAAAGTTTGTGCAACTAACCATTAAACCACATTGCATCTTAATGTACACCTAATGCAGCACCAGAAGGCTACATGAGAAAGTAAATTTCTTTTGTTTGAGGAATCGCTACTGGTTTGCCAGAAATTCACTTGGGTGGCAGTGCTCTGAGACATCTGTTACTCTCTGTCATTAGCCCAACCATCATAATTACACACCCACTGAAATAATCACAAGATGCTTCAGGGCTGACCTTGCAATGTTGTTAGTCACTCTGTTGCTGAACTTGTATCTTGTTAAAGAAATTCTGAGTTGTGGATGATGGGGGAAAGAAAAATTAGTATCTAGGATCATATAATTTCAGAGCTGTAATTAAAGATAATCTAATGTAATGATTCATAATATTTTCTAGCTGACATGATGGGGTCACGATCCCTTTGAGAATCTGGTGAAAGACATGGCAATACAGTGTTGTGCTGGCTGACCTTCGACTAATCTCTACTTGGAGGTAGTTCCAAGTTCAGCAGGAGGCAGGGGGTTCCCTCCTTCAATGATACTCCCTCTTCCTATACCCTGGCAGCCAGAACAGGGACACATCAGACACCCTTGGTCAGGGCTTTGATTCTTGAGGGTGAAAGCAAAGGCACAGCGTCCGTGGGCAACATGGGAAGTGCAACAGCATAGCAATGTCTGGGAGCCATGAAGCTCAGCATGCAGTGGCTGACATTCAGAAGTGATGGCAGCAGGAACTGGTCCTTGGCAGTGACTTTCTTCCCCAGGTTGCTGCAGGAGCTAATTGTTCAAAGTTGCATTCTGAGCCTAAAGCCTTCTAATAAAATCTTTTTTATCCCTTTTAATGAAGTTGGTTTCTTTGTTTGCAATCAAGAACCATAACTGGCAGAACACAGATCTATCCCTGGAAAGATATACCAATACACACTTTTTAGGTAAAATTTCAGAAGGATCCATGACTTCCTTCAATTTATTTAATAGATGAGGAAACTCAAGCATGGTGGGGCTAAATGATTTTCCCAAGGCCAACTCTCTATCTATTAGTAGTGTTGGTTTTAGAACCTAGATTTTCTGAACTCCAGTCACCTTCCGATGTGCATAAATGCTCTAGTATTTTTCATGGGTGGACGTGCAAATGATTCCAATAATGCAGGCTGTGGGGGGAGAGAAGCAAACTGTAGTACCATCAGCAGTGCGGTCTGGATATGGTGAACTGTTCTTTCACAGACAGATGTGGGAAGCCATGATCATCAGTTGCATTATTCCTGAGCGGCAATGCATTCCAGTTACACAGACAGAATCAGTTTCTACGTTTCAGGGCATACGTATTTATGGTGACAAATTTATTCACATTTTAAGGCATATAGTAATTTTCCTGAATATGCTTTATTGGCTTCTGTGCCTCTTCAGAAAAGATGAACTAAACACTGGCATATGTGTTCAGATTTCAACATTCCATTGTTTTCATTGCGGATAATTTCTGTCCTCTATTTTTGTGTAAAGTTATACAATAAAGTGTTAATATTCTGCATCAGCACATTTTCTTTCCTGATAAATCACAATCCACTATCTTTTTTAAATGTCAGAGAATATATTAACCAATGTCCAATTCTTTTTTCACCATGTATCTATTGGAGTTTTAAAATGACTAATATTAAGGCAACTATGAGATGAATTAACTTTTTGCATGTAATCCTAATATAGTTTATAAGATGCAGTGGCTTCTGACAAAAATCAAAAATAATGCATTAGGATGGGCACAAAAAATAGAATAAGACGTACTGTTTGGTAGCATAATAGGGTGACTACAGTCAGTAATAACAATTGTATATTTTAAAATAACTTACAAAGTGTAACTGAATTATTTGTAACTCAAAAGGATAAATGCTTGAGAGAGTAACCCATTCTCCATGGTGTACTTATTTCAAATTTCATCCTTTGTCAAAACATTTCATATCTCCCACAAATACATACACCTACTATATATCCACAAAATTTTTTAAAAATTTAAAAATTAAAATACAATGCATTAGGAAAGGCTAATTTATTGCAGACAGAGAGGTTAAAAAAAAAAAGAGTAAATTCTTCATGCACTCCATATTTTTTTGTTTGTTTTTTTAGAGACAGAGTCTTGCTCTGTCACCCAGGTTGCAGTGCAGTGGCGTGATCTCAGCTCACCGCCTCCTGGGTTCAAGCGACTCTCCTGCCTCAGCCTCCTGAGCAGCTGGGACTACAGGCACACGCCACCGTGCCCAGCTAATTTTTGTAAGTTTATTATTTTGCTGCCTCAGTTCACAGCTTCTATTTAGCCACTATCACGAGTCACTACCAATTTTGTTTCAGTCATTATCGTATACCTATCAGGTATATTTCCAATCATTCTTCAAGGTCCAAAGAAAACTTCAACAAATCTGTGACACTGACACCCTCTGACTCACACACCTTCACAAATTCAATAAAATTAACTATGCTTCTTACGTGTCCTCATTTTTTTTTTTTTTTTTTTTAGTAGAGACAGGGTTACACCATGTTGGCCAAGCTAGTTTCGAACTCCTGGCCTCAAGCAATCCACCTGCCTTGGCCTCCCAAAGTGCTGAGATCACAGGTGTGAGCCACTATGCCCAGCCATCATAATGTTTTGAATCAATATTTATTGAACACGTGCATTAAACAATAGTCATATATAAATACTATAGAGATATTCACACAATACATAAGCATTAATGGTAGAACTTGAATTTGAAATAGTATATCTCTTCCAGAATAGATATTCATTTCCAATTGCCCGAATACCTTCATTTGTGTTTTCCATGGTTAGATCAATTAAATATGTCCCATGACAAACTCATCATCTGTATTCACAAACCTACTCCTCTTCTTGGGTCTTTTGTGAAATTTCACATAATCCACTTTCTTAAAACATGCATATGATTATGTAATTCCCTTGCATAAATCCCTCTGATGGCCCCATGTAACCTTCAAAGCAAAGACTAGATTCTTCAACAGAGTTTTCCACATAAGGTCCAACTTACCTTTTCAAGCATATATCCAGGAATTATTGCGCACTCATGTTCAGAGAGATTATGTTCCCTATTTCTTCCCTCTGTGGTGCTCACCGCCATTTTCTCTGTAAAGTCCTACTCAGTGTCCCATAGCCAGCGCAAATCTAATCTCCTCTCTGAAACCTTCCTTGCCATCCCTGGTTGGTTACCTGGAAGAACTGTCACCTCTCTGATCCCACAGCCCTTTGTCTATACCCCTAGTAGAACACTGAATGCAAAGTTTAAACTAGATAAGCAAGTGCCTCAACCCAATCGTAAGTGATAAAATCACTATGGTCCAGACTAACAGTAAGATTTGTATCTTGTTAGCAGCCAACTAAGTTCTCCCTTAATGTAGTAGAAGGACGCTGACATACATGTTTATTGACTTGATTTCAGATAAGAAATTGAGTCCAATCTTTTTCTTTTGTTTACTAAATGATATTATTATTATTTCAGTGATTGTTTTACTGCTATGGAGATAAAACTGTGGCTTCTGAAATCGATATCAAATTAATACTCTCATATATGAGAAAGAAGGATAATGGAAATCTGCCTTTCCAGCACTGTGCTATTTTATACAACATATTTAAAAGAAAATGTAAAAAAAGAGATACCCAAGGAAATAAAAATAAAGCAAGTAATTTGCAAGGAGACAATTCAGTAACAGACAGAAAGGAGCATAGAAGTAACTGTGTGAGAAGAAATTAATTCAGCCAATATCATCAACATCATCCCACCAAACTTATCTGAAATTTACTCTACACTGAGTCTGCCTCCTCTTATTAAGTTTTAAAAAAGTAGATAATCTTTAGGCACATACAAAATCATTCCAAAGATATCATTTCATAAAGAACTGCAATTTTTATGAATTATATTTTAAAGCTCATTATAAGCTATCAAAGAAGAATAACGAACTAAGGCAGATTTTTAGAAGTTCCGATCAAAATAGATTTCACTTAAAAATTCAAACAAGTTCAGACTCTGAACTTGTGTAAAATACAGACAAATTATAAGTCAAGATATAAGCACAATTTATAGCTCTATGTGCAGGTAATCATTTTAATAAAAACTCATAATTTAAATCTCTTTAAATTTATATTTTCCCAAAATCATTAAGATATAAGATTCAGATAAAGTGTCTA